AAATATCATATGATCATCACCTGATTTCAATTAAATGTTATTGTAAAAAAATTAGTAACGTGATCACTAGTAAAAATAATCGATGTTCACCCTACCCTTAATCAATAGGGATTATTTTAATGCTGTTGTACTATATGTAGTAGTAAAAGTATATACAACCCAAAATTAAATCTTATTTGTTTTTAGACAGCAGTTACAGTTTATTCAGGGTCTTTTAAGTGCATTTACATTTAAAATTGGTGAATACTAGTACAATTTGGGAAATAATGTATACAAAGTTATATATATTTGGAAAATTGAAAGAAATGCTGCTAAATCAATAATAGTAAAAGAAGCAACCCAGATCACAAAAGAGTTGCAAAATGATACTTCTAAATATCATTCATGTAAAATGTGGACTAATTATATATGTACCTATGATTTACTATTATTCAAAGTTAAGCCAGCACTATTAAGAACTATTTACTATATGATATGTTAGCTGCGGAATCTATCAATGAAAAAAAAGTAGATGATTGTGTAAAACTCTCACTAGAACTTGATAACAGTTGATCTTCGCGAATATAATAAAGAAAGACCAAAGAAATATGACAAGTTTTGGGAAGTGGCAGCTTATTTTCTTGCTGGTAAAGCCATTAACCTAATAATCGCCATTAATGAATAACACCACGACCCAATTACACATCTTGTAGTTGCAATTTCAATCGATGATCTTCTTCAGCAAATTAAGAGTGAATATTCACCTGATATACTAATTTCTAGTGCTTAATGGCTTAGATTGCAGTTCTGGTCAAAAAACCCAACATATAAAAGCAGTATACAATATACAGACCGCTTACCTCTAAAATTTATGATTCAATCTCAACAACTACATACTGATCATCCAGATGCTCATTATACATTTGTTCTATTTCGATATGAAAAAGAATTTGCTATTAAATTTCGTAACATCACAATACTTGCTTTTTTAGATGACAAACACCGATGCAAGATCGGTAAATCTGGATATCTCGTAGCAGCTGTTAAAAGGGAAAAGCAAGTAATAGTCAACAAAATATAATATTTGCAGTAAGCGACTATGACTTTACCAAGACAGGGATAGTGCCTAGTGTAACAATGCTCTGCAGTATTCCTGAAACAATAGATAGCGACTTTTATTCTAGACAAGTAAACATCAAATTAAAAGAACTGATTTTTCAACTTTCTTCTCCACTGCACCATATGACAAAGCTATATGATATTCTACTAACACAAAGAATAATTAACCCTATTTTGTATCTTTATACAGACAGTGGTCTTGACCACCAATGTACATATATACGAGTTCAACTGTCTTATATTTGTTTGTTTTTAGCACTTAATCTTGATTACCTCGTAGCAGTGAAAACTTCACCCAATATTCCTAAAAGAACTCTATTAAATGTATAATGTCAACGCTCAATCTTGGATTACAATATATTGGGCTAATGCGTACTAAAATGAATAAAAAATATAAAAAACTTATTAAAAAAACTAATTCAATAAAGGAAATTCGAGAAGTTGCAGAATCCAATCCCACTTTAAAAGAAGAACTTATAAAGAGTATTCAAGATCCAATTAGTCTTGTTTATGAAGTATTTGAACAGCAATCTTTAAAAGATATACCATTTAAAACATTTGATGCTGCAACAAATAAAGATATCAAACAATTTTGGGAAAATATCTACATACTTGATAATACTGTGATATATGATAATTATGAAATTAAAAATCTTAATTAACAGGTAAAGGCATACTAATATGCATATTAAACAAAAATATAAATAAATAATACTGTTCTTTATTGAAGCCATGCTTTAAAGAATTTTTTGACTACTGCTGTACTGTAAAACATTATTTTTTTACAATAAAAAAATATGGCAAAGACACTTGTTTGATTTGCCAACCTATCTGATATCCGCGCAAGATCTTTACCCAACTTCATCATCTTTCTAATCCGATTTCTGGTGAAGACTTCTATTATAAGCCTTTTGAAGCGCTTTATAGTACAACTACAACAGAAAAATACAGACCTTCACATCAAGAACAAACACCTATTGTTAAATCCAATCAAAAAAGAGGAAGAAAAAAAGAAGAAGTAAAACATTCAATGTCTTTTTGTACCTCTTCAATACATGTGAGAAACGTTGGAGTTACTGTTACTTGCAGTGAATATGATAAACCACAACTTCTATTCAGTGCAAAAAAATCAAATAAGAAAGATCATCAAATGCTTGTTCAATTTCTAGATACTATTCTGTACACATATGGAACTACATTTAACAAAACTTGCGAATTATTAACTACTACACCAACTAGGCAACACTATGAAGTAAGTGAATCTTTTGATAATGAATGTAGTGATGGTAATGAGAAGAGTTTGCTTGCTGGTCCTAGCCAATCTTATCAAGAACATGGGGGTGATGAAAATAATGACAATGCACAAAGTGAACAAAACGAACAAAGCAAACAAAGTGAACAAAGCGATCAAGATAATTATGAAATTAATGAAACAATGATTTTTACTCCAAAGAATATGAACAGAACAAGAAAGATGAGATCAACGATCCTATCCAAGAAATCTTTAATCGTGTTTTTATTAATGACTCCTGGACCTGCGATTCTCCTATTAAAAAACTATATTATTTTGCAAAGATCTACCTAGCTATTTGTTACCTTTGTGGAAGTCTTGAAGTCAAACCATCTACAACAAACAAAAGACTAGTATGCGATAACTGTACTGGTACAAACAGTCCAACCAAGCATCGTGGAAAACAATCATCCAATAAACTCAAAAAAATACGTACTTAGACTACTTCTGTTGTAGAGTAAAGTCATTATGTTTAAATTCCTGGCATTTGAAAGTATGCATACTTCAGAAATAAAAATCTAGCCTGATTAGCTCGAAAGTTTTATTGTTAGATTTTTTAGATCTCATTTTTTTGAACTACTACTTTATTTGTTATAACTCAACGTATGTATATACGATCTCTGCATCTCTGCAAGACCGGTTTTAATATAAAATTAGTTTTAGTATAATATTTTTATATGTTTTAAACGCATATTATTGGTTAACAGTCACATGACATATATATATAATTTATATTTAGAATTTGATTCTTCTTGACCCAGCCGGGTTATATTATATTTTATACTTAGCTTTCATAACCTGGCCAGGTTATAAGAACCAAAAAATTAACTTTGCCTGGCCTAATAAAAAAAATTATTTAAAAATTTTATTGTCTTACAACCCGAATACCCAGCAAAAAATTTTATAGATTAAAAATTTAAACTTTATTCTTTATACTGTTATACAGGCAAACTTTATTTCTTTTAAACTTTTTACTTACTTTTTGGGCTTCAAAGCTACATATAAGTTCAATTATTTAAGATTGTCACTTTATAATATAGTCCAAAACTGGGTCTGGCTTAGATTACTATAACATTTTCTTTTGGAAAAATTTAAAGCAATTCTTCTGACTAATTATTGCTAATATTATTAGTATTTTGAATCGATACATTAATTTTTGAGAATACAGAAAGTTGGTAAACAAAGAATGGCTTAGTATTATTATATAATTCTGTAATTTAAATAATAAACTTGATTAATATTACTAACACAAATAGATTTATTTCAATTTGTAATTTCTTTAAGCATATCCAGAGCTCTGAACATCTTCAATATAGAGCATAACTGATTTGCATAAATTTTGGGGTTTTTGCTACCCTTAAAATCAAGTAAATTTGCCAAAAATTCAATTATTATATATAAATTTTATAGTAATTTGCAAAAATTAAATTATTACATCTATTTTTAATTAAATATACCGAAATAATGTATTTTTGTGTGCTGAACAAGTTTACCTAGAGCATAAAGTTAGAATTAATTAGTAAAATTTTGAGAATCATAGCATTTTTAGTATTTTTATTAATAAAATTATACAAAATATTAAGATTCTTAAAATTTTACTAATTGATTATAACTTTATGCTCTAATAAACCTTGTTCAGCAAACAAAAATACATTAGACCATGCAAAGTTAATTTCTTGGTTTTCATAACATAAAATAAAATTTATAACTCGGTGACCCAGATTTTTATTTTTTTTAAAAAAAATTAAAAAAAATTCCAAAATACATTAGTGGCTATAAAAATGATCTAATTGACCAATCGTGTTGATTATTTACTAGTAAGTCAAAAACTTGGAGTTGGCAACTATCTTCGAAGTTACTTTGACTAGCTGTAATTAAAATCTGCATACAATATTTAAACTATTTTGCAAATCATATTGAGAGAGCTGTTTAATAATAGCTTTAGGCAGTTCTTGACATTTCTATCTACAGTTAACAGAGTAATCTGGTTGGATAAAAAATAAATCGTGATAGTCATTTAGGGTTGTTCTTAAGCAACTCCATTAATATGATTTGCTAATTGATTAATTGAAGTGATTCTTACAACAATTTGCTGAAAGTGAAAGTTCATTGTGCCAAATACAAATTTTAAAGAAATCTGATCAACTCACTGACAATCACTTCATAGATACCACTTTCACCGACAAGTTCATTTAACCAAAAGTTTATTTCATTTTATAGACAAAATAATTCTAGTCAATATCATTAGGGTCAGATTAGAATAGAGTTAAAGTTAGTGTAATCTATAAAAAAAATAACTTGTCAGTGAAATGAGCTTCGGTGAAATAGAATGTCGGTAAAATGAACTTGTCGGTGAATAATTGTCAGTAAAATTTGGTGCCTATGAAGTGATTGTCGTTGAAATAATATGGATCCATTAAAATTTAAGTGAAACAATTGAGCACACTCTAAGTCAAAAAATCTGGTGCCAACATTTTTTCTTTTTCATGAATTTAAAATCCAATGAACTGTTAGACAAATTATTATAAGAATCTCTTCAATTAATCACAATAATTGTGCATATCTCAATCACCAGAAAATCACATTGAGTGAGTTGCCTGAGAATACAC